AACATGGAAGTTATTACAAGACTTCATAGAGATTACAATTTTTTTTTTTTGTCTTCCGAAAAATTACTTCTCAAGCACTTAAGATAATGCAGGGACATTATTGAAACTAAATTTATCATAACTTCAGATTGGGAGCGGGTGAGCACTTCTAGAGCTCAGAGACACAGGTTCGAGTCCGGCTGATGACTGTTAGTTTTCATTAGCCGTGGATTAACCCTGTCTGATGTTGGGAGACCCTCCTGGGGCACACCCAGCCTCTATAAAGTGAGTACCTTTAATTAAATAAATAATTAAGGGAGAAAACCTGGTAGCTGAATGAAGACACTTCATGGGTTGTAGTGGTACAGGTTTTGCTTAATAACTTCAGATTAAAATTTTTGGAGATGCATAATATAAGTGTAAAAACCATCGTTCAGTTGTTGAGAAGTCAAGTCAGTTATTTTACAGAATTTAAATAGTGAGGTCACATTCCGTAGGTTAAAAACTTCAACCAAACTGTTTTTTTTTTTTGTTTTTTTTTGGTGATTTTTATATCGAAAAATGTTGGGCATCTGTTCCGGAGTGCCTTCAAATGGGTCTAAAGAGTAGAAAAAAAATTCTGTGTGAAACATAATCGATAATATTAAATCAATTCAAATGCATCAAACATTATAAAAATTAAAAGACTTTTCCAGTTAATTAAGCCAGGTAAAGTTTGTAGGTACGCCTGCTTAGAATAGTTCAGTGGAACACCGATCATGTGTTTTTCAATTTATATTTGTAAACAGTTGACATAAACTTACATTCAATTTTCATTCTTGATTCTTTTGAATGAAGTAAATTGACAAACAATTTGGTATTATTCCTGATAATGCATAAAAAGATAGTGATTCTTAAACGTTGACATTTAGACCAAATATCCCTAAATAAATCTGGAGAGTCAAAAAATAAATGCGGTTGCTAAAGATGAAAATATTGAATGAAATTTGAACGTTTCTAAACTCAGCGCTGAGCTAAGGAATTTGTCCTTTATTTTTTACTTCCTCTCGATAAGCAATGTAGCAATTGAGAGGGTATTTATAGAAAATACAAAGGTATGTATGGTGTGATGGGTAACCAATTTTATTTCGGATCCACAGAATAATTTCGACTTACACATTCTAGCTTGAATATATTAGTGATCTGATGAATAACTCGTTTTCGCTATCCTGTCCCCTCTGGGAAAACCGTTATAAACAATTGGTGCAAACAATAATTTGAAAGAAACTTATTAAATTATTATATGGAAACTCAAAAAACTTTGTTTATCAAACTGTTTAAATTCGTCATCGTTTACGTAACAATTCACGTTATTATTAACATAACGTTCTGCGGAGCACCTCTCCAACACTTGGTGCTAAGGTGTCTGTTTTGATTATGTGACTGCTAGTTCAACCAACCTTTTTTTCCAGGTCGTCAAACCCGTATTGTGCGGTGTGTGGTTCATGTTATCAACTTCTTAAGAAACTCTGTGTTAGGAATCTTAGGTCTAGCCTATTAGTGTTTCCATTTGTTGATACATTTAATTATATTTGATACATCTTTATATATTATTTTCCAAAAGTTTTTTTTTTTTGTCGATACGTCATATCTGTATTTCTTCATTAAATTCAATGATTGAGTCATTATTTTACACTGGTATCAATAGATAAAATATAATAATAACTTCTAAAATGAAAATAACGATAATCTGAAGACAATGCTAATACAAGACAATTATGAAATATCTAATCAAATATTTCGATGTTTGATTATGGAAATTAAATAAATAAATTACATGTAAATGGCTCAAAATTACAATCAATAATAGAAAAATTAACAAATATATATTAACCCTAAATTAAGAATTATACAAAACTAAACGAAAAACAAAACAATAAAAGTTGAACAATTTTACGTGTTCGCAAGCAGGTGACGGTCGTAAATATGAACGAACCGCTGGCACTCCAATCCTTCTTCTGCGACTGAAGTTTCAATATGAGTAGGTTCAATATGAGCGCTCATATAATTAAAACTGCAAATGGGCAGCGGCGAGCACGACGAGAGAAGTACGTCTCTTCACGGTAGAACTGCAATGGGCAGTGTAGAAGTTGGCAGTACTCAGCTCAGTGACAGGCGGAGTCAGACTGTCTATTGTCAAGTCTACGGCCTTAGGACTTGAACCTAGCACTTGTTTATAGCTAGGGCTACAATCGATAACAAGTACAAACTATTGACCTATTGAATATAAATAATTAACCAAATTATTGTTGAAAATAAAAAATAAAATAAATTAACGCTGTGTCGTTAACAGCGCCTGAAATGTCTGGAAAAAAGTTATGAAGGTAAAACAAACTTCATTTGCGAATAACTTTAAAAGTATACACTTTACGTTAGATTTCACCCATGATCGTATTCAAGGTTACTAAATTCCGAAATCGTTTGAAATTTTGTTCATTTTTTATAATATTTTTCTTTAATTCTTATTTTCGGTTTATATTCTTTAGAAAAGCTTTATTATAATACATTATATAGCGTGAGAACAATGTTGATACATTTTTTACCGCCCGAAGAAGCAAAGTGGGTTCAAATATTTTTAAGGAGAAACAAAGTTTAGAATTTTATTTCCCACCTCTATAAACCCTTAAACAAAAAATAATATCGGTAACGTATTTTAGAAAAAGATCTAAAAATAATGTTGTTTTTTTAAATGCTTCATTTATGAAATAGAAATTATTTATTGAGAGTATCATAATCTGTCTCAATTAAGGATATTTATAATAGTGTTCAGAGAGCATGATTGCTCTCTATTTACAACAGAGGTTTTAAGTACATGAAGGGGGTTTTATTAAGTTGCACCATCGAAATTTTTGAGTGGAGCACATTTTGACTGGATATTAATTTTGAGGGGGGGGGGGATTTCGGCGGGGTCATGAATTTTTGGATTGAAAATTACACAAACCAAGGACAAGAGAAAAATAGGAAACAAACCTTAGCAAATGTAATGTGTATATGATCTATGAACTTTTAAATTTTACTTTCGTTTGCATTTTCCTTAAGAAGAATGTAGGGAAAGAAAATATCTTGGGAAGGAGAGGGGAAAGGTTTATGTGCCATCAACCTTGGGAGGGTGGGAACCTTGGGATTTACAATAAATAAAGATAAATTAAACAGGAAAATAATAATACTAAAAGTAAATGTATATAAACAAAAATCACTAAACTAATCAAAATATCAACTTAAATACAAGCATACGTTTATACAATATTTGCAGAATTCATTTACTCAGAAGAACTCCGAGCAAAGCCTTTCCCAATCGTGGAAGGAAAGGCAAGACTCAAGGAGATTACAGGGTCTCTCACTCAGCCGCATTAATGGTAATATGAAAAATGAAATGTTATTTTTATCGAGTCTTAATGTTTTTTTTATTTTTTTGGAGGAGGGATGGTTCATCCCGAAACCCTCTCTTCCTTTAAATAGCTAGCGAAACAAGTTTTGTGTGGGTTCAGTGGAAATCCCCAGCCATCTAGGCCATGTACAGGGCATGAAGGTGAAGGAACCGAGCAGATGGTGGAGGGTATGATTGTGATGGATGGGGAGGGGTAATATCTCCCAGGATTGGGTTTTTCCCAACGCTTCAGTACTGGCAACGAGCCCAACATCTCGACAGCTATGTATTTATTCAATACCTTATAAAATTAAAAGCATGGTTGGATAAAATGGCTTGAAGATGGCTTACCAGCCGAAACGTAGCTATGTAATTTGAAATAAATATGGTGAAGAAATAATATTTTATAATATTAAAATTTACCTTAGTTCAGACACTCAAAAGTTCGCTTTAAATCCTTTTAACAGTGACATATCATATTTTCATTTAAAGTAAATTTTGTCTAGTTCACAGTGAAGCAATTTTTAATTATGCAAATTAAATATATATTTAGTTATCTTGAATATTTGACCGTTGCATTATAAAGGAAGGAGATGGTCCGGGGTGGCGGTCATAAATAGGGTAAATAGTGGCAAAACTATTTTATTAAAAGCCAACGTTTCGACCCGACTTTGCATGTCTTTAGGGAGGTGGGTTCAGCAAGGAGTTTCAATTAGAACTGAAGTGAAACTCCTTGCTGAACACACCTCCTTGAAGAACAATCGGGTCGAAACGGTGGATTTTAATAAAATTGTTTTGCCACTATTTGGCCTATTTATGACCGCCACTAGTGTTGCCCGAAATCGGTCTTGGTCCTGCACTTCGGAAGAGCAAGACCAACAACGCCTATCTGTTGCAAGACCAAGACCAAGATTGGTAAAAAAAAATATCGATTTTTTAAATAAAATTTTAGGCAAAATAGTTGCTAATACTTGACAATTTTAGTTACTATATGTGAAGAATTGATGTAACCAATATATTTTTGCATTTAACTCTTCTAATTTTTCATTCAGACTTAGTTAGGTTTCTCCTATCTAAAAAAATACAGTAATATCTAGTAATAAGCTAATAGGTAACTGCAAGACTGTTACGAGAGTCTCGCGCAAGACCAAGACCTAGATCAAGACTGAGTTTGCAAGAACTCGCATTTGGGCAACACTAACCGCCACCCCGGACCATCTCCCTCCTTTATTTAGTTATCGTTTCGTATTAAACAAAAAGCATGATTTACTTTTAAAAATGCAAAACTTGGATTTCCTAATTTATTACTGAAAATTGGACCCATTGCTTATATGAACTTTTTTTAGCTGTCGAGGTCTGCTATAACTCCTATAAAAATTTTCCTCTACTTACGGGACAACTTATATATTTATTTATTCATATTTTCTATTAATATGATATGAATTAACTCTCTTTCTCACTATCCACTGTCCGTATTATAACATAATGTTATTTTACTCAGTGAAAACAAAAGAATAATTATCAAAATTAAAATTAAACATTACATATATATATATATATATATATATATATATATATATATATATATATATATATATAAGAAATTAAGTAATTCTCATACTGTGTAATATACCTCTTGTACAACAGCTTCACAGGTATCTACCACGCTCCACAACTCCACAAGCCTGATGATCGCCCAGTAGCCGAAAGTGAAGAGCTCTCCAATAGGCCTCCCACCTCTGTTCAATACCAGCTGTATTATTCCCTCAGCAACATAGTCAGCATTAGCTGTCGTCATCAAAAAAATACTTGTGACAAACAGCAAAATTTGTTTTCCGTAAATTTCATTGATCGTTCCGCAGCACTGAACTAAATAATCGTACAGCTTCAACAGAGACTCAACTTCTCCTTGCCTCCTGAAAGATGACGGTCTTTTCTTAACCGATGAAAGCTCTTTTTTGAGGAAGTTGAACCTTTTCTGTATAGTATCGAGGAGTACATTGTGCTGATACTCAGTTATGTTGGATACGTAAAGTGGGAAAAACTGGAAATTGAAAAATATGACACGATCCCAACTATCAACGGGTGTAATCATGAAGTGTTCAAGAGCAACCCCGACAGTGAGTAGACCAAGTCTGAAGAGTGCCCCAAAGAAATACCTTCGTTTACTAAAGGAGAGATTTGCACCATTTTTTCTTAGAAATTCATCGACTGCATCTAAGCGTTTGAATGTGTTCAAGGTTTCAATTCTGGATTTAAAAGAAGAGATGATTGCGAGAAAAGCGCTTAAGAAACCTAATGAAAAGAGGAACCTATCCAAACTTAGCCTAAGGATACTGGCATAAAGTGCTTCGTCCATCATTTGGAGGAAGGCAAGTGAATAACCAGAACAAGCGGTGTGTACGATCAATAAAAGGAAAGAATAGCAGGAGTAAATAAAAGTGTATTGGAATTTCGGAGTAAATAGACCCACTCCGAAAATCCTGCTGATGAACATTACCGGGAAGAGGATCTCTTCCATTCCGAAGTCTGCCACTTGTGAAGTTATACTGATGGTTCTATTACTTTAAGTTCTTTGATATAATTTCTCTTTATTTGAATCTAGTTTGTTTGCTCCTACGGAGAGAGTTGTTTTCCTAATTGATTTATGGCGTTGTAGGAATAATTTGATGCCTAAATATTTTTATAAATGTTTGGAAGACAAATACTAAATATTAAAATATGAGTGTTCTGTTCCTCTTCATCTTGTTTTTTTAATTTCATGTCAACCTCCTATGAATGTTTTACAATACCGTTTTAATTTGTGCTTGTATTCAAATCAATACACATTGCCTTTTATGTTGTGCTGAGGATTGTTTTGATCCTTTAGAACAAAATTTTCCTTTGTACTTGTGTTAGATAAAAAAAAAAAACCTGTACCACAACAACCCATGAAGGGTCCGGGGTTCAGTACTATTTAGGGAAAGCACTGTTTCTAGCTCAAGGAGATGATTTGACCGAGATCACGCTCAACCGCCTCAATTAATTATTTAATTAAGGGTACCCACTTTATAGGGACTGGGTGTGCACCAGGAGGGTCTCCCAACCCAGGATCGCCCCACGGCCAATGAAACAGATAAATAAATTTTCTGCCATGAGCCGGGGCTCGAACCTGGAACCTTTGCATTGGAAGTTCAGTGCCCTATCACTGAGCTACCCCACTCCCTAGGGTTAGATACTTTTGTAGGAAAAAAAAATAACTAGATATTAATAAATAACTAGAAGGTTACTGACATTTTTTCACTATAACAACAACTGTCCAATTAGTGTATTTTTGGATAACGCTCTGACATTTTATCGCCAATTCTGACACCTAGGTTCACTCTTTTTACCTCAATACTTGTTAAATATTGGACATGACTATTTTATTTTTCAACTCTTAATTTTCGAGAAGTTATTTCTCAGTTCGGCTTAATATTCAGTGAAAAATGAAATACGTTTTTCTTTAAATTATAGATTTGTTTTGTTTTTTATAATGCATGTTTATCTTAAAATAAATGTAAATTTCTGAGGATTTAGATACATAAATTAATATAAAAGTAGACGTGTCCTCATGTATTTTTTTTATTTATGCCAGTTTTGAGCTTTTCTGCCCCGCTGTGTGCCCCAGAATCGATCCACGGTTTATGTAGCATATTAAATAATTACCTACCAAAACCAGTTATATTCCTTCTTTCTAGGGTACTGGTTAATGTCTCGCAGCCATATACCAGAACTGGTTCCATCATAATGCATGTACAATGACTCTCTTAATTTGATATTTCTAGAGATATTTCGGAATTTTAATATCTTTGAAATGTTGCAGAAAAAATCGGTTTATGCTTGTTGTACGCTGCTCTATTTCTGACAGTTGTGAGTTCATTGAGGTTATCATGAAAGTATTTATACATTTCCATTGTTTAAATGTATACGCTTTTTCCTAAAATTAAAAAACAGTAGTTGGGATTTTTTTTCGAAATAATAAACTCTGGAAATATCGACCTTTAAATTATAGAAAAATATTTTTGATCACAACAAAATTTTCTAGAAAATATGTACAGTAAAGCCCCGCATAACCGGCTGTCCGGATTAACCGGTGGTATAAGAGAAAAACGTTTTTTTTTTTTTCTGCTCTCGGCTAGTTTCAGCTTACTAAATTATGGCTAGAGAATGTGGTAACTCAGTGGTATGACACTCAACTTCGAATGCTAAAGGTACCAGGTTTGAATCCCGGCTCACGTCAGAAAAATTATTTATTCTGTCTATTGGCCGTGGGGCGACCCTGGGTAGTTAGACCCTCCTGGGGCACACCTAGCCTCTATAAAGAGGGTACCCTTGATTAAAATAATTAATTAATTGGGGATAGGGTTACTACCCTATTCAACGCAGTGTGGAAAGGCGAGATTCATTCTGTGGATCCGCCACAAATTCATGTCAACTCGCTTTGGCCGGATTCGAACCGGTGTCATTGCAATTAGGAATAATTTATTCCTCTTTTTTTTTTTTCTTTAATGTTATTGAGGATTCTCTTGAAGGTTGCAATGAAATTCTTCTCCTTCATGATTTCCGTTAAGAAATCATTCTTCTCCGTGTTTCTTTCCTATTTAAAAAACGCTGGTAATTCTTACACAATGGTTTATTATTTCCAAACAATTGAACATCAAAATTAACATTACTTTCCATGTAAGATTAAGGAAAATACATTAAAAGGAGTTTCTAGCATTGGCCTATGTAATTCTCATTGTTATAATTGATAACTTACTTAATTAAAATAATAATTGCCACAGTTGATGTAAAATTTTCTTAAAAACAAAACATATTTAGAATGTATGCTTATATACACCATAACTTTGCTCGAAATAGTTCGATTTCAACGATATTTTTTTTGTTTATTAGTAAAATTCGTAAACATTTAAATAACCATAAATATTTAAAAACCACGATATATTTATTAATAATTCACTGATTTCGATGAAACTTTTTTTGTTTTTTAGAAAATTCAAATACCTTTGAAACACTTGATTATAAAATTAAATTCTTGAGTTATTCGGAAATTTAGTTTTACCAATCCTCGTAAATTTTTTTCTAGCTTCTTTTCGTTTAAGTACGTTATATAGACAAATTTAAACGTCATCGTGGATAAGACTTTAGCCAAGTTTCAGTCTATATCAACACATTTTTTTGGCTGTAGTCACCCTGCAGTCCTGGTGAAAAGCCGCGGATGGACAAAAAATATTTTATTCGATTTTCGACTTCTACATATCCTGAAACTTCAAGCCTCAAATTTTGAGGGCAGGTTTAATGTTTGATTTTTTTTCGACGATTACAATGGTTCATTATTGAAAATAATAAACCAACAGTAACTTCCGTCAATTATCAAACTTCATTGGGATTACTCCCATTGATTCCATCATCAAAATACTATGAAATGCAATAAGTGATAAAAAAGAATTCGGAACACAGATTAATTTTCATAAAATTATTCAATTTGCTCTTATTGCCCATGAACCAAGAAATAAATATTTAAAGTTACAAAACTTGTTGTAACTTGTATGCTTATCAGGAGGAGTATTAATATCAAGAAGAAGAACAACGCCTAAAGCGTTTATAAAATCATAGCGTAAAATGTTTAATCCAAAGAAAGATAAATCGGAAGTAGAAATTTGATAAATGCAGTACGAGGAATTGGTGTTGGATTGGAATGGTGGAAAAAAAGAGCCTTTTAATGTTTCCTGTAATTGATTATAGTTAAATAATAAATAAATAATTTATGTACTATTTAGAATATGATCAATTGTTTAGATGACAATATGCAGGGGACAATATGCCCATCCCTCCCAAAATCGATTGCATAATAACCTACCTGCCTCCCCCTTCTCCCAAGATATTTTATTACTCACCTTTTCTTAAAAACAGAAGAAGCTCAGGTAGAATTAGAAAAATCGTAGATCATATACAATTACACTTGCTGCGGTCTGTTCTATATTTCCCCCTTGTCCATTAGTACGAAACTTCACAATCTCGTCGAAATTTGTCCCCCTAAAAAACTCAAAAAACCCGTCAAAATATGCACCCCTAAAAATGTTGATGGCGTAGCTTGAAACCTCCTTCTCGACACCCCTGGCAGTAAGTGTCTGTACGGTAGACTGAAACTTGTGACTAACTATACGGAGATCGATGTATATCTATTTTTAAAAGGTCACTTAAAATACATAATTATGTGCAGATCTCTTATGTAGTTGAACCTTCTTGTTCGCTAAATCTTATAATCAATGTTAAAAAAATAAAACAGCTATGACTTAGTACTCATAAGATGCAAACTTACATCGTCTATTGAACGCTCAGAATTTTTTGCAGAACATACTGTTATAATGAAAGTTATTGAAGATGGAAACCGTTTCTGAGGAAGGAAGTATAATGAGGTCACAGTATATTATATAAGTATGTATACCGGTTTTCATCAATATACATGTTTGGATATGCATATTTACTTATATTCATGTGCTTTTGATTCTTCATATTTCCTAGTTAGTAAAATTTGTCACCTCGGGAGTTTATAAGTTGTAAATGACTTACAAAAAGGTTAAAATCGCTATTTATTTAAATTTACAACAGCTATCCCGGGATACTACATAGCAATGCACGGCTTATTGTTTAAACTATCAATTTCGAGAATTAGTTGCAACATAATAATCTCCTTAACTTACTACGTACATGACGAAATTCTATAAGAACCCTAACGTATCTAACAACTCTCATCCTTACAAATCGCAGACTCATTTACAAAAGATTACCAACAAACATCAACAAAAATGTAAATTTCATCGGCAAACGCCACTGCTGACTGAGGCTTCCGATGTGCCACTGGCTTGGAGTATCGAAGCTCAATAAGAAGCTCTGAAGATGATCCCATTCTATGAACAAGAAAAGGAGGGATTGAAACGTTAACAAATAAAAGCAATAAATTCCAAATTTATGTAGTTTATTAAAATTGTAAATGATCTCTAACTCCCGAAAATAAGAATTATTTGACAATATAATATTTAAGTGTCGATGAAAAAAATAATTTTGTAATATATATATTAGGAACCAGCGCAATGTATGTCGTAATCCTTCATTATTTTTCAATGCCCTGATTCATCAGGGCGAACCATAATCATTAACAAGAATAAATTGAAGGAGGTATAATAAATAAATTATTACCAGGAAACTTAAATTTTGTTTGGTTATTAAACTATTTAAAATCAATATCATTGACAAAGCAATTTGCTGCTATGCAGCTCCGATCTGTGGAGATCACTTGGTGTTAAAGTGATTATGTGACTCCCTACTCATCTAACCTTT